CAGCAAATTCAACTGGANGGCACATTCAGGTGGAGGACGTCATAAACGAGAGATTCAATTGAGTCTCCCGTGAAAACCAAATTGATTTGCAAGTGAGTGTAGTTCTCGAATATCAGAAGGTTTCTAAGATGCATCTCAAGGAAGGCAACTCGAAAACTGTGCCCACCTGATGAGCCCGAAGTATAAGGGCGAAAACGGTCATGGGCTGTTGAAGAGTTCTCAACAACCTTGTTGCTTCTAAACAACATAACAGCACTATTTGAAATAAGCTCAGGAGGCAAGAGTGACGTTTCTCCAACCTTTCCCTAGTTTCTAAATTCCTAAGGTTTGAATGCTTTGAGTTACTTGTCTTCTATAGAGGGAAATGGTAGCTCAGGTAGCGTAGATGGTCGTTGGGCTGTTCGCTGAGCTGGGCAATTTGATTGAATGATTGATGATGTCAAAGTGGCTATTTCTGTTTCGAATATATCAAACGGTGCATCCGTCCATCAGCACCAGAAGACTATTTCTTCTACTTGTGTGTGTGAAACTTCTGGATTCGACGGTGTACTTTGGACAGAAAACTGGATGTTGTACGTCTGGAACCAAGTCACGTTTCTGCTCGGTTTAGCTTCTTCAAAGTGACAAAAAGACGCGTGGTTCAATCCGTTCGAAGCACCCGGTGAGCTTAAAAAACAAATTCAGGTTTCCTTTGCCACAGCAAAGGGAGAAACGGCGTTGTAGTTGTAGCAAGTGGCAACACAACAGCGGTTTCTCACTTGCTGTTGTCTGGGTAAAATTGCCACACACACACACACGTGGAGGAAACCGAATCGCTGCTCCTCTCTCAGTTGGCCTGTAAATAAAGCGTGTGTCCATTACTGAGATCAAGTGTAAATGTACGATCGCAGTTGGCCTAACTCGAACCGCAAATAGGGCGTGTCCCGTACTGAGATCACGTACTGAGCTGTACGTGGATACTGCCAGGATACTGCCCAGGCCTACACAGGACATCGATTAGGGGGCAGCCTTGCTGCAAGGCAGCAACGATTAGTGTAAGCTCATCAGAACAGTCTACATTTTCGAGGCCCCACACTGGTTTCAGACTAAACTGTTTTAGATTGAGCAAACACTGTTTGGAAAAGTTGTTTCCATGTAACCAGCGCTGAACAAATGCGTCAAAATCAACCTGAATCACAGGGTCAACCGGCCCAAAACCCACAAGTCATCACAAGGTTTGCCCAAGTTGTGGACTGTCATCGGTTGGTTGGCGCTAAACTATTGCCCATGGAAGAACTTCTTTAGCTTCAAGATCCAAACGGGATTATTGTGACAAAATCTTTTAGAGGCACCAGTTAGATTAGCTCAGGCCGATGTGAGTACCTTGTTATCGAATCCGGCCATTTTGCCCAGATGTCATGTGGTTCCGACAGGCCGACGGCATCAACACTTTTGCGAGTGAAAAAAACGGAAATGCATCGCAAAAACAGGATGCGGTTAATGGCGGCGTGGCAATTCGACAGAGCTGATAGTCAAGGGGACAAAAGAGGTTCCTTTTACATCCACTTTTTGAGTCACGGAAAAAAGTGACGCCTTCCAAGACTATCGTTTTTGTATTCAAGTCCCATAGGTCTGATACACAACAGAGCATTGTGGAAAAGTTGACAACTTTGCTTGACTGCTTCCAGAGAGATAATCTAAAAAATGCCAATGGATTGGCTCAGACAAATTAGGGAAAAACTCATGAGTGCCGTTTGTCTAAGATGTGTGTACTAGGGTTTTCAAATTTGCAAAAGTCAATCAAACAAATTAAGTATAACTAGAAAACTGAGGTGGTTGGTAACCCTGGTGCATTCCGTTTTTTTTACAGGAAAAGCGGAGATCAGTCAGACAAAAAGGCGAAGAAACGCAACCAGTGATTAAACTCAAAGAAAATTCAAACCACAACGCAGCACAATTTCGTGACCAGCCAACCAAAATGCAGCAGAAAACTGCGAAAATAGAAATCGAGGTGACTGGTAAAATAAAAAAGACAGAACACAACGCAGCACAGTCTGTGAACAGGAAGTTTATAACTGAGGCGCAGCCTACTAGAAAGAAGCCGTACAACGAGCCAATCAAACGCCATGTGTACAGACCACAACGCGGAACATGTAGACGGTCCAATTGAATTTCGGTTAAGCTGTTACTCAGCCAGCCAATCACATCAGGTGATAACTGCTATTTTGTAAATTATGTAGACGAAAGCAGGTGACGAAAAAGCACCCACCCGACCACACACTGGTGATGTCTTCACGATTGGTGGTGAAACGACTGCAAGCAAATGGCCAAGTTCAACGAAAAAATCAGCAGTCACCTGATCTATGACCAATTAACGCACTCGAGAGACCAACTTTCCAATTTTATTGCGAGCACCTGAACTGTGTGATAGCATTATAGCCAAATTCATGTCAGAAAATTCATGCTGCCGACTGACCAGCTGTATTTTTTGTGGTCCTTCCAATCCTGCTCCCATTACAGAAAAAAGATTTTCCCGTGCGTGGTCGGTAATCCTTCGTATTGTCCGATAGGTCCAAACAGACTGTGTTTCGGACGATGAGACATGCCTTTATTGCAAAAATCCCTACTGAAAGCACTGTGTTCTTCGTAGGGGAAAAACACTCCGTGAGCGAACAAATAAACTCCTTGCCAAGTTAAATCAACGAGTCACAACTCTTGACAGAAGCATGTACATCAAGGCTCGAAATTCAATCTTCGGTGGTGTAAAGACAGACCATCACTGGGATATGTGGAAAAGTGGATCATCTGTATATGTAGGGTGTTTAGCAGATATTTGGCTACAATGGAATAAACAGGGAGGTGTGAGGACCGCAATAACGTTTCTTCCCGAGGAGCTTACGAAAGAATGTGATCCGTCTTGGCAGATGGACTTTTTGGACAATCTGTCATCACTGCACCGGGTGCTTGTGAGAGGTTATCGATAAATGGCGGTTGGGAATCGCGTTTTTTCCGACTTTCAAACAACTTTACAGAGTCTTGATCGACCGTTATTGGACTCTATTTCGTTCTTTAACCAAGGGGAAGTTGTTTTTTAAACGTCAAATTTTCAGTGGAAGTTATATTGATTTGTGATACATCGTAGTTGCGAGGGGGGGCAGATGCCAACAAAGGTGAAAAAAAACCCGTTTCCACTTGAATGCAACTAACGAGAGATAGTCGACATTGAGACATTTGATGTGAAAGTAGGTGTATTGACGGTCATGGCAGAAGCAAGTTTTCAGACTGTCTGTGGGCAAAGTGTGGGTGATAAGTTGTTGGATCGTAATTGTTTCAGCTGCTTACAAGCCATCGTTTGGCAAACCGGGTTCATCGTACGACCCGTCTCCTTACTTTCACGCTACTTTGATCAGTAGCTGCATTCAGACTGACCTACATTCCCATAACATGCCTTAATTCAAACCCCGATCCATCGCTCCTCACCGTAATCACCCGTCAGGAAACCTGTGCCTGCCTCCATGTGATATATTCCAAACAAAATGCGCCACAAATTTCACCGACTGGTCATACCCAGCTGTCATGCCACCCGAAAGAAGCACGAGCGCTGGGATAGTGCCAGTTCGCCCAAGCCTAGACAGGGAAGTCCAGAGGCAGTGGTCGGGGGTTCGAACCACGGACCTTCCGGTCAGTAAATTTGCGCTCTAACCACTTGACTGGTACTCACTTGAACGTGGGTCATGGTTGCGATAAAATGAAATACAATTACCCCCACTGTCTTGCCTGTTTTCAACGTCCAAACTAGGTGATTGGCTCACTGGGATTGACTCGATATGTTCAACAAGATGAGTTCACTTCATCCGGTACATACACGTCTTCACAAAATACACATAACTGGTGTTCTGGGTATGACATAAACGCGAAAGAAGCACCCAACACTGGTGGTTAGTCACGGAGGAATGACCCGCTCAACTGCGAACTGACGGCGTCTCCATCCGACTGAGGACGGAGTGTTCGCAAGTAAATAGCCAAGCTCGGCTCCCACATACAAAAGTGTGGAATGGTAGGGGAATTCGGATATGGTCCTGATGAAGAGAAAATATTTCCAAGTAGGAACTTTATGAGGCATGGCAGCGTAAAGGTACTACTTGAAAGCTTGTCACGGAGCAGGTGAGATTGCCATCACCCACTCGGCTCTAGATCGTATGACATTATATTACGAAAGGCTATATTATAGTGTCATATAATACAATGGTGTATTGTGTGATATGTGATCTTCAGAGTATTATGTCTGCATAAAGGAAACTACTCACAAGGTTGCTGAAAACTCTTCGACAGCCCACGACCGTTTTCACCCTTCTTGGGGCCGGCTCATCAGGTAGGCGCAGTCCCCGAGTCTCCGTCAACCTTATGTCCTGTTTATCATTACATAATATGTTATAATCATCATACTGTTTTATTATATGAAATACTATGTTGCGTTATATCAGTATTATTTTATCATGTTACACTATATTATATTATACCATATATTATAATATATTCTGATCATATTATATTGTATATTAAATCGCATTTTGGTGTGTCACATTCTACCATATCTAGATTATACTCCAGACTGACCGTCTAGCTTCGCCTCGATTGCGGTTCTTCGGCTCTGTGCTTTACTTTCTTTCACTTATAAAGATAGTTCGGCTTGTCTTTTCCAAAAAGACGCCTTCTATAGTTATGTCTCCCAGTAGTGATAGTTCGCTTCTCATACACTCATTAAAATTCAATTGATGATTTAATAACTGCATACAAAGCTCCCACTATCAGCAATTGTTGGTGCCATTGTCACTTTTGCTGCATCTGATTTGACGTAGCCTCGGCGGTATTATTAGGATCTTCCAACTTCTTCCAACTCCCCTCTAAGAATCCACCCACAATGACAACAAGGTCTTGCAAAAAAGTGAACAGAGGATTTCGCGATACGCTTTCTGCAAGCGCGTGCAATGTGTGAGTGATTTGGGGGGTGGGGGACTCACCAGGAGTAGATGCAGGCCAAACGTGCTGAGTGGACAGTGGTCAGACAACCGATCCAGAAGAAACAAATCTGGAGATGGCGACTGCTTATTCTCTTCGACAAACTGTAAGAGACAAACAAATATAGGGAGAGAGACTGGATGATAGATCCGCGCGCCATCAAACTATTTAGTTGCAACATACGAACGTTCCGGGTAGTTTATCAAATGAAAGTTCATTGGCTGTTTGAAAAAAGTTGACCCATAGTGGTTCTCTTATGGAGGGAACAACAGTGGCTAGCACTTGTGTGACATCACACTTCCGCGTGAAACCTCTCAATCTTACAAAATTATCTCTCTCCCGAGGAAGCTGCTGTAAGGGAAGAAACACTTCGATCGACTAGCTAGCTAACTTTCCCAGTTAGTGCAAACTTTCCTGGAGAAGAGAAACCTCCTCAAGTGTTTGATTCAGATTAAAAAAAGAAATAAAGTTCTATAACCAATTAATCGGGTGCCACTACTATGCGCAACGGACACACTAACCTGCCCCCCTCTGTGTGGATAGAACTTAACCGAGAGGCAGGAAGTAGTTGAACAGTCGCTGCCATCTAACGACGTTTACTCCCTCTGACCCAGGTTCACTGACATTTGAGTAGCAGCATTAATGACCGGAAGTCCACGAAAATTGCTGATAGTTAGGCCGTAGCACCCTGTTGGTGTCCAGCTGCCATGCCAACCAGAGGATGCATGAGAACTAAGATAGTGTCGGGGTTGCCTAAGCTTAGACAGGAACAGGTTTACCATGGACCTTAACCACGTGCCCTAACCACTGAGTTTTCTCGAGCTCTTAGTCGGTACTCAGATGGCAGACGAAACTCTCCAGATACGCTGAACCCTTCCAAAGTATGACTGCGGTATTCAGATGGCAGACGAACCTCTCCAGATACGCTGAACCCTTCCAAAGTAGCCTCGGCACGGACGACGGCCTGGCCCGATTGAGCTGTGTAGAACATACAGTTTTTACTACAGCACGTAAGGACTTGTGGTCAACAGACGGACGATAAACACTGCTTCAGTTAGATTGGACGATAGTAAAAAAGGTACCAAAAGAACGAACAATTGAGAAATAATGACTGAAACTAGGCGCTCACTTAGAGACTCGCGATCCCATCGTCATTGGGCGATGCTAAATAACGTGTGACGAGCGATGTTACCAAAGGAGTGGCGTCATTGGAAGATGCTGTCTTAGCCGTTTAGTAATGATATTACTATAAACAAAGGGTCAACACTGTGGACTACATGTGATGTGCCGCACATCCTCTTCATTCACCCCTTCATTCACCTATCGATTGAAGCGACGGAGCGTTTGCCTCGCAATAAGTGCATTATTAGGCCCGTCTCGGTAGACTCAGTCACCTGGCAGGAACGAAAGAACCATGCTGTGCGGGTATTAGGCGTCAGTACGGTTTCGTTGAGATGCTTAGCCTATTTCCTCCGAGAGCCTTGATACAACCAAATATATGCCTGAGCTTTTTTAAACAAGATACCCCCCATCATAGTCCACTAAGAAAGCTACTTGTAAGATGAAAAATGAAGTTTTGAAAGCAGCTTGCATTGACGTCAAAAATGGATTTTGTCATTGCCTGCGGAGTGTGATGTAGCGTTCTTATCTCCCGCACCCCCCAGTTGACATGGTATGGCTGTCGTCGAGGACATGACTGCCGTTTCCGTCTGTCAAAATAAAAATTCCAACTCTACCCACACAAAAATGAGTGAACGTGTGGAAACCCACGCATAGGTGGAACATAGCAGAGCTTCAGATGTCCACGCGCAGTACGAGGCCTTATTAGTAGCTAGTCAAGTTGCCAGGCGCTAAAGCTGTTTCCACCATGGCGGGACTAATGCGGACTGATATGGAATTCACTCGTCCATATTTCGCGCGCTCTCGCAACTGACCCTATGTCATGTGACCCAAAAGTTGACTTGCCCCTTTCCATCTCAAATCGCTGATCACGTTTTCACGCCATATATCCGGTTTCACGCTGTATCCGGTTCTTCATCCTCTTTACATGAAGCAATGACAAAATCCATCCATCAAGTAATTCCAGTGGAATTCTTCGCAGGTGTTTTCGAATGAATTGCTGAGGTTAGACGTCTCGCAGTGATGTGAGTTTCAAACAGGGACTCAGGTGCCTTCCTTTCAGGAGTGAACACAGAGCCACCAATCGCGGTGGTTTGGTCATGTGGTCCGGACACTCAGTTATCGGATTCGGCACTACATGAAAGCAAGGGACGCCTGAATTAACAGAGGATACTAAAATAGAGTCAACAAGGACTTGAGTCTGTTAGCGAATATACACTCATTTGAAAACTAATTTGGTTTTTCGAGAGACTCACCTGAAACCCAACTGAACCTCTCGTTTGTGATGTTTCTAGTGATGTTTCAAGTAGAACATAAGGTTGACGGAAACTCGGGAACTGCGCCTACCTGATAAGCCCCATGAAGGGTGAAACCGGTCGTGGGCTGTCGACAAATTTTCAGCAACCTTATGAGTAGTACACCACAAGTATATATCTGAGTCTGTGTTTTCGACCCGGCCTTCAGGATTGTAGGGTCCATTCGACTCTCTCATCGCCTGGCTGAGGATGTTGCAAGATATGTCAGAAACCTTTATACTGGTGTGTTTTCACAGGACTAAAACTTTTCTACCTTAATTTCGAACTTTACCTCAGGACTTGATTTGATCGTAACAACTGAAACATGGGGCAGTTTGGTGCAGCAAATTCAGTTGCTTAAAAATATCATAAACGAGAGATTCGGCTGGGTTCCGGGTGAGTCTCTCGAAAAACCAAATTTGTTCGTGCAATGTAAGTAGAACATAAGGTTGACGGAAACTCTGGGATTGCGCCTACCAGATGTCGAAGAAATTCCAGCGACCTTATGAACCTTACGTCTAAACTAATGGCAATTCCTGTGTGGAAGAGTCTCCGGGGTTATGGAGCGTTCATATTCCAACATCTGAAGAGTGACGTAGACATGACGTTTTATAAATGACCAATTCGGATGATGAAAATCGATGGTGATAATGATGATATTTATAGTTTTCTCAAATCAATATTTTGTAGATCGCCCTCTTCTATGTGTGAGAATATACTTTCTCTTTGGATTGGCAAAAATACGCTGTCTGATCGACTACAGTTCATTTTTCCCAGACATTTGTGACTTGGGCGATGATGATAAACGATGTCCACCAGACGGCTTGGCCATTTTCACGTTTCTCTGTCAGTTCAATAGTGCCTAAAACGATATTATGTCTAACAGGGAATTTGGCAATATAAATCAGAAAATTAGATTCCAACATTTGGAAACTATTCGGAGTTGGTTGGCGCGTGAGTCAGCAACATTTTTCATCTGTTATCCTCTGGCTGTCCCCATTGTTGGGGTCTTGGACCCGGTTGGTCGGCGGAAAGCAGGCGAATCAACCACAAGAACCGGGACCTGAAAATAGTTCCTATAATTGATGTGTGTTTTAGGGACGGCTGAACAAACCAAATTAAAATGAGTTAAACTGAGCTCACGACTGATACAGTCGCCGGTACTGGAGAGATCGCTCAGTGGTTAGAGCGTACTAGCCGTAAGGTCCATGGTTCGAACCCGGCACTTACCTCTCGACTTACCCTGTCTAGGTTTGAGCAACCTGGCATTATCCCAGCCCTCGTTCTTCTTTTGTTCCCATCAAATTCGCTTGACCTCAACAATGAAATGCCTTCCGTAAACACCGGGACAACATATATACGCCATTTAGGACCAAAATATTTAGTGTAAATACCTGCGGCGGTAACATCAGAACAGCTCGAGAGCGGCTGCACTTGCCCGATTACCCAATGACCACGCAAAAAGCCCGAGAATAGTGGGGCTCGCCAAGAAATTGCGATAGATTTGTTACATGCTAAAAACAAGTCAAGGTTTGTAGTAGTACCAAGCGGCAAAGTGTGAACGATGGCCTGATCTGTGAGCTGTCGGGTACTACATTTGAGGTGAATCCAGCGTCGAAAAATCCATCAGGAGGCGCTAGCTGATGCCTCCGGCTGAACGGTGAGTTCTTGAATACGCAATATTCTGGGCATTACTCGGTCACAATTAGCAGAGCAAATTGCTTGCAATGTGTGTTGTGTGTTTCGAATAGCCGATCAGTGTGACACTTCCGAACGACACTCAGCTGCAAAGCAACTTATTTTTAACGGTAAGATTCCGCAGAATCTCTCGAGTAGAATATCCTCCAAGTGAATACGCTGCACGATGTGCACATACTCTAGGAGGAACTCTATACATAGGGTCGCTGAAGAGATTTTAGCAACCTTCAAGATGCCTGACATCCGTGTATGTTGAAAACACATGTTACGCCACTTCACTGATTCGAATCGATAAGAGATTCAAAAAGCATCCTTTCCACCTGGAGAGGCCTCTCGGCGAGACTGAATCCAACCAGAAATGGTGGATGAGAGAGAATAAACACTACTGTGAACTCACCAGAAGTGCTTTCAATCGGACACTTTTTTAGATGTATTGTTCGTCAAAGCTTTCACATGCGCATTAATTGGTTTTTTTCCCAGGGAGAGACCCAACTGATTCCAGCTAAATCTCTCGCTCATCATGCTCGTGGGCTGGCTGAAAGCTTTCAGCAACCTTATGAGTAGTATCTTCCATCGAGCTGGCGTATAATTTTCCGACTTACTCGTTGTCTGCGAGAATTCATGTGCATGCATTCATGAAAGTGCCAAAGTTTTCCCCTTTTGGCCACCATTCGTGTCTGAATGGGTTTACAACAAAATCCTCCAGAACGCTCAGGAAATATTTTTGACACCGTTGCGCGTCAGTTTTGTTTTTAAACGTTACTCCTGTTCTCATAGTTCCCTCAATTTACGTTGTACCTATGAGAATACGATGACTGTATTCACTAAGCAAAGCATCAGTTCATATTTCGCCTTGTGATCGGCAGAAGAACGCCAGTCAACTGGAGATTCATTGAAGTCTGGACATAGTGCGAATGACTGGTCAACGCAGCGCAGCTAAGAAATATGATGGACCACAGTTCGAAGTCGAAGCTTGTCTGATGAACTCAAGAAGGACGAAATCGGTTGTAGGATGTGCTTCTTGTTCGTATCAGTAGCTTCATCTTCGAGAGGACAAAATGTCGATATCTTGTAAATGAAGCCTTGGGCAACCTGATCTAAGCATAACTGTTTAGAAGGACCGGTCTCCAGTTCGATAATATCTTGTTCTTCAATATAGGGATTTGTAAAATAACTCGTTTCATACGCTATTTTGTCGACAGGTTCGGTTAAAGCAACACTGGTTTCTTTGAAATCCGTGTGCTAAACACTAAAGCAATGGATGGACCCCAATGATTGCTTACCTGGACTAACGATTCCACATCGAATTTCGACTCCTTCATCCATAAGTTTTTCAAAATCTCGGTGCCTGATAAACTAGAATCTGGAGTTGACGGTTCCACGGCATTGGACGTTTGAGTATCTATTTCTGTAGACTGAGTATTTTCAGCCGCTCCATTCAAGTGCTCTTGTCGGCAAGGTTCGGCTGAAGTTTCTTCTTCTTCCAGTTGGATATTGTACTCCAGTTCCAAGACTCCATCGTCTTCGACAAATGTCTTATAGATATAATCTGTGACCTGCGAAGAACTGGTGGAGATATTGTGCGGATTGCTAGCGCCCGTTCGTTTGGACAAATAAGGACGGAATTTATTGATCTTTTGTTTGTGTGGTGGTGTGCACGAAGGCTTTGCTAAATCTTTCGTCTCGTCTTGTTCTTCATTCACCGGCATTCCAGCCACTCCGTCGCTAAACGACAGCGAGGAGGACAATTCGCGAGAGAGTATGCGGCAGAACTGCGTGTGAAATAAGGAAAAGAATGTCAGCCTGATTGGTAGCAACTAAAAAACAAGCGAGTAAAACGGAAAATAAAGACGCCCAACGAGTTGCCAGCGTAAGTTTTGTTGTTTCTTGGTGTCGTTATTGTAAAAAACCGCATAAAACTGGGAAACTCTTGACGGACACGCTTATAACCAACTCACAAACTTGTGCAGACCTTTACAGCCAGGAAAAGCCACAAAAACACTCCAAACTTATCTCTTCCATTCCGATGAGTTTCAGTTCGGTAGTCAATATGTCGCTTTTGTCATGTAGCACGGCTAGGCCTTAGGCAGTTATTGGGCCCGGTTATTGAGACAAGATAGAAAATATTTGAATATTGGTTCATCGATTTTCAACCAGGATGACATGATAAGTTCGAGAAATTTCGGTTACTGATGAATACTACCAGTGAAAGGAAGAAGACCTTCGCTGAGGAGTTATTTATTAGAAAATGCCAACTGACCAGTTACAGATTATTGGACAGAGAAGCAGAACTCTCATTTGCATCTTATTTACAAAAAAAACTGGACATCCATCTTATCCTGAACGCGTCTTCCTGAACTTTCCTGGATATTCATTGACTGTTGCTCAAGTGCAAGCAAATGCTACAAAGCGACTCCACGAATTCCGCAATTGATCTCCCTTTTCTAGAGACGCAAAGCGAATTTACAAGAACAAAACATACTACTCGCATGCCTCCCCATCAGTAGTATCACCGTCACGCCAGTTCAAAATTTACAGGTTTGGGTGAAGCTGTTTCACGTATGAACCATAGTGGTCATCCATGGTGCTCGTCATGTGACCTAGTAAGCTAATGCCACGCTGTTTGTGTGTACGATAGTTTCTTCGTCATAATCAATAAATTGAGCATCAGCATTTGCAATCGGACGATGATGATGAACTTGGTCGTTAACTGCTGCATGCTTCGCAATGCACTACTGATAAGGCTGCCTGGAAACATAACAAACTAGAGATTCAGCTGGGTTCCAGATGAGTCTCTCGAAAAACCAATTAGTTTGAAAATGAGTGTGTTTTGTCTAAATCAAACTCTTAGTTTCACACTGCACAGCCCAGCGTTCGAATTTCCCCCTCAACCCTGTTTCGGAATTATTGGACGGATGAGAAATCCTAAATTGAATCTTGTCGTTTGAGAACTAATCATAAACATATATTGAGTTGGGCACTGAATGTTGCCCAAAGAGGTAGTCTGGTTCCTCGAAGTTCCCGTTTCCGAGTTCGAACAATACTTGTACTTAACGAACAGCCTGGCAAGATGAGACGGGTTAGTGGTTAGAGCGTGAATTTACTGATTGGAAGGTCCATGGTTCTCTGCATCTCCACTGGGCTTGGGTAACCTGCTAGCAGTACCCAAGCCCTCGTGCTTCTTTCAAGTGGCATGAAATCTAGGCTTCGAAAGGTTGCTACAGCTGAACGACGATTTTTCTAACGCATCGTTCTTGGAAATACAGTATCCTCGTAAACAATGTTGCCTCCAAAATCGTGGGTTCCAAATACTGCAGGAAAGTAACACTCGTTTCAAACGGCTCTCAAAACTGGACCACTCAGATTCAGGAGGACATGACATAAACGTTTCCAATGGTCAATCTGAAGAAGAGAACTGTTCAACGGAAACGCTCCCACATCCGTTGTATGCGGGTGGACAAGCACGAAACTATTTTCCACTTCCGGAGCATACTTTCCCCGTTCGATGCAATCGGCTCGACATTGTTGAAACGCACCAACAAAGTCACGTGAAACAGGGTCGAGAAAAACAGGGGGAGAGAATTCCAAGCCTGCTGACATTATTTCAATTAGTCAAACGGATCCTGAGAGATCGATGAAGTACTTGTTGTGCACATAGAGCAGTTCATCCATGCGCACATCCCGGAGTGTTCTACTCTTTTGTCCTCCCCGGCTGTTGCCAACTTTAGAAGTTTAGTTTATTTTCACTCATTACTTATCGGTATGATCCTTCTGCCAATCAAACGATTTTAAGAAGTAAATTGTGTCACGCGACAGACGTGAATAAGTAGCGTTTGGTTTCGGATTTTATAGTTTAAACATTTTTGTATGCCAATATGAAGACTGACAGACCCTCCAGCGATCCCCTACTGAAAGATAGTCCAGAGCGATATTGCACACTTGGCATGATGGTTCAATCTCAGAGAACAACTGAATTCTGACATCTTCGTAAAGTTTGTGGAATGAATTGCAATTTCCGATGAGTTGGAACTATATCATGATTCTGAGGAAATGAAATCGGGAAAGCAGAATGTATGGGGTGATTCGTCTTTCAGCATTTGAAAGGCGCTCCTCAAGGTCTGTCTGTCAAGGAAGACAGTAAGCTGCGAAAATCAGACTCATCGAAAAATCAATAAAGACGCCACTGTTCCTCAAGTTGAGGAGAATTAGTATCCCTACTTGGGAGTGGGCAATTAGAAATGAGTCGAGTAACCTATCGAAAGTTGTATGGAATTTTGAAAGACAGGTTCCTTGACTGATTTACTCATTTTTACCGAAATCCAGATTGATCAGCCTTTTTCCAACAAGATCATCCAGCAGCCGATTTTCACTTATGCTCACCCGACTTTACTACACTAACTTAAGTGTGTTCTCGAGCCTCGGCAGGAAATCATGAACCGGATAATGGAAGGCGGCCGGACAGGACAACGTCGTTATGGCAATCGTGATCTACTTGGCGCAACAGGTACGGAAACGCGGGGATTAGATTGGTGAGACTGTGAACTGGATTGTGCGTGATGATGGAATCACGTGTAACTAATTTGCAAATCAATTTGGTTTTCACAGGAGACTCAACTGAATCTCTCGTTTATGGTATTCTACAACTGAATGTGCTGCACCCAGGCTGCTTCATGATTCAGTTGGCACGACATTCTACTTGAACCCAAATTGGACTGTTTTCGAGTATCGTGCCAACTGAAACAAGAGGCGGTCTGTGTGCAGCACATTCAGAGAGATTCAGTTGAGTCTCTCGTGAAAACCAAATTGATTTGCAAATGAGTGTATTTCTCGACAACTCTGTGTTAGTTTTTTGGGGCATTCATTTGGGTATTTAACAATAAGTCACCTTGAGGCAATCGATTTCTGGTCCCCGTTCTACGTCTCTTTCTTACGCCCCCTTGACTTTGCTCCAGATAACACCGGTGTTATGGGCCGTCGAGGAATTCCTGCTGCTCGGTTGAAGATGGCTAATTACTTTACGTTTCAAATGATTCACAGTTGATTATTCTAGAACTCAATCATCTTGTTAATGGTTGTTTGACATGGTCATGCGTGTGTGTGTCCGTTTCAATCAAGAAGAAGGTAACATATATGCCGATCATTTCACGGATTGGTGCTAATGCATCCACGCGAATCGGTCTCGGTTTGCGTGAGCTCTCTCCCGTCTTTCGATCCTATTACTGCGCAGGATCACTAGCATGGCGTGACAGAAATCAAATCAAACTAACTTATCAAGCTCTTCTGAAACTTGGATAGTTAATTGCTCTACATGGCTGGTACTCCCGGTGAGTAAGAGGTGTGCTACTGAAACGATCGGCACTGCTGTAAATCAAACTCATTCTCGAAAGAGTACAAACCTTGGTTGATTCGGAATGAGAAGAGTGTCAGTTTCCAAGACACATTCAAACTGTGAGTGAGCAAATCTTTGGGTCTTGAAGGTATGAGACAATGTGACCTCGCAGTGAGATGGACCAAAGGTGGTTCGCTGGAAACGGGGAAGAAGTCAGCCAGGTTCCAAATGCATGATTTAACAGTCTGATCTCCTTCCGTAGTTGTTGAGTAGCTGTCACGAAAGGCGCACACCATCAGACTGACCGATGAAAATCTCTTTTGCTCTTGTCGAGCAAGACCACACCACTCCAGGCGAGGTCCCGCATGAGACGGCGCCCAGTCACACAGAGCTTTACCGGAGCACAGCTGAATCTCTCGTTTGTGATGTTCTCAGGCAACTGAAGGTGCTGCAGCAGGCTGTCTCATGCTTCAGTCGTACTACTCACAAGGCTGCTGAAAATTCGTCGACAGCCCAAGACCAGTTTCGTCCCTCCACTTTGGGCTCATCAGGTACTCGCAGTCCCCGAGTTTCCGTCAACCTTATGTTCTACTTGAAACATCACTAGAAACATCACAAACGAAAAGTTCAGCTGGGTTCCAGGTGCGTCTCTCAAAAAACCAAGTTAGTTTGCAAATGAGTGTATATTCGCGAATTTCGTGCAATTTGGTTTCCAGTAGAACCTAAGGTTGACGGAAACTCGTGGACTGCGCCTACCTGATGAGCCCCAAAAAGGCCGAAACCGGTGGTGGGCTGTCTACGGATTTTCAGCAACCTTATGAGTAGTAGATTACAAAGATTTATGTGTTACCGGAGCAGTTTTTCTAAACGCTCGGAAAATAGCTTTCCCGAGGCCGACTGGAGTTCGTCGAAGGAGGAACCCAACTTGGTTGTTTTCACAAGATACAAATATTCGACCTGACAGCTTGCGACATCATCCACCAGTTAATTCGATACGGTATTTAAAAGACTTCTGTCATAGAGATCATAGGTTCATTCTTATCCTACGTTTCTCCCTGTGAGTGAAGTGACCAATCAGAAAGCTTGGGCTGGAAAGTCATCGTTCATAGGTCACACTTGACGTTCGCACCAACACATAGCACACAGCCTTACGTCACCTAGCACCCGATTCGAGCACACGATATTCGGTAGAGCGAGGCTAATCGTGCACCCTTCCGGCGCCTAGCTACCATGCTACCCGAAGGAACCACGAGGGCCAAGATACTGCCAAGTTGTCCAAGCCTAGACAGAAGCAATCAAAATGCAGAGGCTGGATTCGAACCACGGACGTTTCGGATCAGTGCCTTCACCACCGAACTATCTTGAGAGAAAGAGAGAGACTACTAGTTACGAGGCCTGTGAATCTCTAAAAAAACAACACCTAACTTTAAACGACAGTCATAT